ATGGAAAGGCAGACTCCTGACTTGAGGAGCTTGGCTCATTCTGGAGGTGTTGGTGCGCGTTCGCTGCGTAACTGCAAGAGAGAAGTGTTTAAATTCCCCGAAACTGCATTTCACCCTTAGTCTCTGTGAATCACAAAGCAAGAAAGACTATGGATTGAATAATACTCTTCAAGTTCCCATTATTGCTTGGTTGGTTTCTTTTCTCATAATTCAAGTTTGCAGGAAATACAGCATTAGTAAAGGAAAAGACCTTCTGATGTTAAAAAACTTCTCTTATAAACAGCTTTAGCTTCTATTTTTGCACCCCACACACAGATGCGCCCACAGGCAGAGCCCTTAAATTCCTATTCCTGAAAGCTCTGATATCAGCTCTATGAAATGCGTATTTAGGGAAAAGGTAATAATTCCCCTTCAGCTACTGTCTCTGTTTACATTTATCATCTGACTCAGCAGTCTGCCTATGTTGAGCAGATCATATCAATAAGTGAGTTACTTTTTCAAAGTACACTCTCCCAAAACCTTTAAAAAGTATAAATAAGAATATTTAGAGATTGTAGGGGACACGGTTTAATACTGAATATTTTCAATGCATACTTCGGGTCTCTCTTCCAACAAATTGTATTAAGAGGTTTTAAGTACATGAAAACAATCAAACTTTGCATGTTTATTCATCATACGTTGCCATTTTCAGTACGGAAAGAAAGCGAAAAACCCTAAAGAAGTGGGAACAGGTAAATGAAATCTTTTTATCAGGTAAAAGCTCAAATTTCTTTTTTTTTTCTTCCCATTAGCCAAATGCAGATTGCATGGACGATATACCTCCAGACTTGGAAGCGTCCATAGGAGGACCACCAACCAACCAGATAACGGGAGCCAGCGATATAACAGTGAACGAGAGCTCCGTCGCCCTGGATCCCCCGGTGCGGACTGTGGGAGTACTACAAGTCATCCAAGATGTAGACTCCTTTCCCCAGGTTGGGGAGGGTAACTTCACAACAAGCAGTAAGTTCCTCTTTCTGGCAGAATTTGCACTGAAATAAATGTTTAGAAACCCGAATCGCAAACCGATCTCTAGTGCGGGAAAAGTGGCCTTTGAGGGCTTTTTCACTGGAGCAGCGGCCTTACTTTAAGCCTAGCAGAAATCTGCAGGGTAAGTACACTTAAATATTACATCGTTCTGCTGTACTGCAAACAATTCCAGCCTGTGTGCAAATCAATGTGTTGAATAGCAAACTCTAGTTGGTCAGAACAAGGTATTTCAGTCAACACAAAACAATATAAAGTTATGGTCATCTTCAGATATTGTTTCAGTAAGCGATCCCGTTCACCATGATAACCCACCATGTAGCACCTGGCTTCTTTGTGAAGCAGATTGGTGCATGTCCTTTGGCCTGCCTTTCCTCGCTGGGCTACATGTTACCTTGTTAAGTTATTCTTACCTGCATATCATAAAATAAATAGTGAATGCAGCAACCACCTTTACTTTTGGCCTTTGGTCAAGAAAAAACGATGTTGAATTCTGGTTTTGCCTTTCCTTTGTCTTCTTACATCAACTGAAGCTTATCTGTTCAGGTACTCATACTTGAAGTTCTCGTTTTAGAAGGATTGATGGTCAGAGTTCCTGTACTCGAAAACCGAGCGTAGTGAAATAATGCTGCCAAATTGTACAAAAAAAAGAGAATTTTGGATGTTTTCAATGTGTTTAGTTTTCACTTGTTTAACGGGTGCTATTCAAACGAGCAAGTCTCAAAATGTCTGCCTGTCTCTCTGTTTCTAAAAATTATGTTCTATGTTGAAAATCTACTTCTGACAGTTTAAAAAGAATGTTGTCAGCTGTTTTGAGTTAGGATTGTACTAGTCTAAAATTCTCATTTTTAGGTAAAATAGCAGATCGGTAGAAAATACATATCTGCTTGATACCAGTTGGTGTATTAGTATTGACAAGACTTGTAGAAAATCATCAGATGTATTTGAAGGGAGGTGGAAGAATGTGATAAAATACAGGTTTGTATATGGAGTCAGTGTAGGTCCTGGAAAAAAATTATACATTTTCAGCTATTTCTAAGTGCTACTATGGGCCTGGGCATGAAAAAGAAGGCAAGTAATAATATGATGTATAAAAGGTAAGAGAAAGATGAGGGGACTAGGCTGAAATGATTTTACATTAGTCTCCTTAATCTGTGGAGAGACTTGATAACCACATTTTCCCTTATATTGCAGCCAGTGTCATGGCAGTAAAAATAACTTTTGGAAATGCTGGACTTGCAACTTTAGCCACAAGTGACCCAGAAGTGGATTTTTAAGTTCTCCCTTTTGTGGATTAGGTACTGGTTTCAGGTTTGGTCCTTTTATGGTTAAGCCCTGGATCCAGCAAGGGGTGAGCAGCAAGGTTTGTAGGCCCAGCTGTCATCCATGGCCAGCCTGCCAGCTGGTGGCATACAACTTTCTCAAGCCTCCCTGAGTGCTGGCAAGAGCTGTTCAAAACAAGATGTTATTTTGTTCCTTCCAGTAATTGTTTTTAAATGTATCTGGGGCCGATTTAAGCCATGAAGGAAAGATTTTAGTTCATGGTACCCGCAGCGTAACTAAAGACTGGGCCAGATGCTGGTCTCAGCTGTACCCTCTCAACACTCCTGAAGTTAGTAGCTCCTCTGGCAGATGATTACCCTTGTCCTGCTGTGCTTTCGAGGTCCGCTGTTGAAGTTGGGAGGAAGGCAGTGGTGCGCCCTTTACGCCCACAGCTGCATGGCACATGCTGAGAAGAGCCGGCAGCCTGGTGCAAAGCCCAGCACTAGGGGTAGTCCATGCTTTTCATCCCAGGGCCTTGCCACACCGAGAAGCAGTTCTCCCAGTTTGTCATTGGGGGAACAATGGTGTTGAGGCAGCCAGGGAGCACAAGAGCTCAGTAATTCTCCAGCCACCCTCTTCCCCTCCAGTTTTGCTTCCAGAGCCTGCAAAAGGATCAGTGTCAGTCCAAACACATTTGTTCTTCATTTTCCAAGTTGCCAGCTAAGTAACCAGGTGAAAAACTTGCTCTGAGCCAGCAGAGCACTGCAGGGCCTGCAGAGATGCTTTATTTTGCCTTGGTGCCCTCTGTTTTTCCCCTTACCTTTAATAACATTGGGCAATAGACACCAACACTGGGGCAGTCCTGAGGACTGACAGCAGAGCCCATGGGCAAGGAACTCGCACTGAGACCAGTGGTCTGTCCAGGCACGTGGGTAATGAGGCAGCAAACCGTGGATCTCCATCACCTGAAGAGGCTGGCCGTGGGCAGGGGTTTTTCCCTGGTTATTTGAGAGAGGAAGAAGAGAGCAGGGAGGGGAAACTGGCAGATGGCCTGAGCTCTGAGCCTCACACCATCACAGGGGAGGCTGGGCACCCACTGCTAAAAATAGACCTCTCCAGTTGTTTTGTGAGGAAGGAGGAATCCTGAGAAAAGCTCAACGGACCTTGGGAGCTTCCAAACTCTGGTGGACGCCTGCCTACGCTGCGCCCATCACGCAGAGTCACTCAGGGAACTCTGGTTTAGTGCTTGGTGAGCTGTTGTCACTCACCCATCATTGACAATGTAGACACGAATCTTCATCTGGGTTTCTCAAAGTGGAATACAATACTTGAATACTAGTCAGCAGTAGGTATGCAAGTTTGCATGCTGTCATCACCACATCCACAATTTGCAGTAGTTCCCAGAAACAGCATCATTTGGTCCCTTTTTGCAGCAGAGCTGCAGCAAAGAAGAGGTCTTCGGTTGGGAGTTAGGGGCCAAGTTCCAGCAGTGATGGGAATTTGTCCCTTCAGCTGCCTTCTGTGGATCTGGGGTGTTCAGGCACTCTGAAAGGTAGAACTTGGCATCCTAGGCAGCCTGAACTCGTAAGCCAGTGAAAGGGGAACATCCAGGACCACTCTATATTTGTGGTATGAAACCAAATGCTAACTAAATCAGAGGGCAACTGCAGGCTAAATAACTGGGTCATAGCTGTCACATAGATAGGGGCTTTATAGGCATTGTGTCTTATTTATTGTATTCAGGCATTGTATTTCTTGTTTCCAGAATCCTCACAGTTACACAACTGCAGAGCGTGCTGAGCATGCCCTTTCTGTGAACTAGCCTGCCTGAGAATGTGTAAGCGATGACGCTGATTGCTCCTAGGAATCTCTGCTGAAGTTGCTAGGTTCTGGCCTCTTTATATAGCATTAGTGACGGGAGCATTCTCCAAGGCTGAATCTGTGCTAGAAGTTTTTCTTCCTCTTGTTACTGAATCTGTGCAGACTGCCTCCAGTGAAGTCTTGGCACAGCACCCTTTATCCAGCACCACGAGTCCTTGCATCCCTCCTTATTCCTGGCAAAGCTCAGTGGTCCAGGAGGTAAAGGACTTGCCGCCTTCTTTCCATCCACTTCTGCAATACTTTTTGCCTAATTGTTGTTGCATCCTTTTTGTCTGTTGATTAATCATTCTGGTATTGTTGTCTTGGTTTGGGTTTAATTTCCCTTTCTGTGTTTCCAGTGAGTACGCAGAGCCAGAAGAGCTCCCACAGTGTGTCTGGAGGGAGGATATTTCCAGAGTGCTGCTCACATCGGGTGAAATTCTGTCTCCATTGAAATCTGGTGGCAAAGCTCCCACCTACTTCAGTGGGGCCAGATTTTCATTTCTGGAACTCAGCCAGAGCTTTTCTTTTTTTTTCTGTGTGTGTGCTTCAGCTGACGTTTCCTCTTCTCTCCCTCAGTTTTTCCTCCCCATGCTCCTGAATAGATAATGTCTTCTATGGGACCCTGGGTGACATAGTGTACGTTGAACATCTGGATGGGACTTCATTTGGGAGCCCGTCCCTAGGGTTCCTTGCTAAACCAAGCATCTCCTGTGTAGTAGCACTGAGCACTTAAAAATGGACCAGCAGTTTCTCTCAGCTGGCTTCTACCCTTCTACCAAGATCCAAGCCTTCATCAAGTCCCTTGGGCATATCTACAGCCCAAAATCTGTTCAGTATTTAGGCTTAGTGACTGTTTCCTCTCTGTTGTGGGATTTTGTGGGGGATCCTGGGACGGTATCTTGTAATGTGATATTTCTGTAATGAGTTGCTGAAAATGGGTGGATGGAAAAATTGAAAAACTGGAGTTGGAAAAAAAAAGGGGGGGTAGGGAGGAGTGAAAAAATTGTGTGAAATACATGAGTTCATCGCAGCTGAGTTTCCTGCTTTGACCCTCTTACTTCTCAGCTCTCCAGAGGGTATGAAAAAGATAAGCTAAGGATCTTGTTCCACAGTAATGAATCATAGCAATCTTTGTTGCCTAATTTTTAGTAGACAGTTATGCAAAATGGTAACATCTTCAGGAATTTCAGTGCAGGTGGAGTTTCCTGCTCCACAGATGATGTGAGTGTGAGCAGGACTTGGCCAGGATCTGAACTTGAAGAAGCTCTGAGCTACTCCAGCTTTGGAGGAGTGGAAGGTGGATTTGGGAATTGAGGAGGACATTGCAATATTTTTGGGTCAGGCTAGGCTGGGATTGAATGATATGGTTAAAAAAGGTAGTTCACTGGAAAAGTAGCATCTAGATATTTTAAAGGTTGTGTGGTGACACTTGCAGGGGAAAAAGTAGTTAATTTTTTCATCTTTCATAGCATCCACAGCCGTTCATCTCCCTCACCCCATGTGGCACTTGCTAATTTGTGCGGTAGATAATGTGCACTGCCCGAGTCTTTGCTCTCTGTTGGTAAATACCTCTAGTTTTTCAATTTAGACAAGCTTTTATATTCTCTTCAGCGGGATGTCTCGTCACACTGTGTAAGGCCTCAGAAATCTCACCAGCATTGTCTCTAGTTGGAGGAAGATCCGTAAATAATTCTACTGCGAACACGGACGGGAATTTTAGTATGAAAAACCACAAACTCTCCCCCAAGGTGTCATATCACCAGCAAAGTCCACTGAGTTTGGCAGCAGTGGGGGCTGTCTAAAGAATACCAGCAGTTCCTTTTCTGCCTCTCATTTTGTTCTTTCCATAA